TTCACTGGAATACCAGTCAGGCTTCTACAAATTCTTTAGCGTTCATGGCGTTTCCTCTGTCCCAGTCGAATTGATGTCTGTGGTTGTCTTTATGTAGTGATATAAGGGAGTGGAGGTCAAGTCTTTTGAAGGCTAGTTTATATTCGCGGATTCGTAGACGAATTCGACTGGGACAAAGTTGAAATATTAGACAGAGGAAACAACAAGTATGCTAGAGAATTTGTAGAAGGTTCTCTGGTATTCCAGTGAATCATCAGTCAATAGACACATCGAGAAGGACAACACTTATCGACCAATAAGCAAGAAATCTCTAACACACAAACGAGGAAAGTTCAAGTCATAGAAACGATCAGTTCGAACACAAGTCGCTTAGAAGGTGTGAAAAAACACAAAAGCAACCAATCACCTCCAAAGTCACCAGGAGAGATGACAAATAAACTCGTGGAGAAATCTAAAATCTCACTTCAACGAATTGAAGGATGCGCCGAAGACGTTGCCTTGTATGGCGATGAAGACTTTGCAAATTAACTATCCAACTCAGAGGACACAATCAAATCAATCACACAAAAGGATAAATATTGCCTCAAGATTTTGAAGCTTTAGTAATTGTGGAGCTGATTTAAAAAGGTGAGATCACCAGGTTCACTCCAGAACTTCTCTCTTTTCTGAGTTTACAAAACCGTTATTAATCTAGGCATAGTTTCTCTAGCCACTGAATCCAGACCATGTATGTGTTTACTGATCATTCTACCATTGAACTATCAACTCGAGGAGGTAACACTCAAAGTTTTGATATATTACTCAGCAGATCATAATTTTCAAAAGGCTCCTGAGACATTTACTTTTTAGATGCACACTTATCATTCTGAAAGGTCAAATGTGAGAAACTTTTGCATGACTCACATCTCACCCAAGGTCCGTAGGACCAACTTGCAATAATAAAGATGTTCCGCAATCCGGTTAAAAAGTTCAGTGATACAGCAACTGACTTTCCCAATAAATTATTATATTCTTCAGTATTCAGACTATAGAATCCGAGAGGATTTTGGACTAATTTCACCTGTTAAATTTTTTTCAAAAAATGTACATCAGTTGGAGAAGTCATCGAAAACCAGGGTGCAATTGACAGCTATTTCCTTCTTTTTGTGGGATCCTTCAGGTTAAGGGACCATGTTCACTGGCCATGAAGTTATTCGGGTTGGAATTCAATGACCTGTGACTTTGTGAAATCGTAATATGTCGCCATGTCAAGGTGAAGAGGATTCTTATTGAAGGCATGGGTGGGGGCAACTGTTCAGTGCTCCTTGGTTTTCAGTAATCTCGATAACTGACGGTGGTTTGCGTCGAAAATCTTACCATTGAAATTTCGATTATTAGTTTGAGCACCAATGAAAGTAAAGACTCAGAATTCATCCACCTCGCTATAATCAGTTCCCTGGAAAGAATGACGCTTCGGACTCCTTCATGTTTAATTCATGTATAACGTTTGACAAACTCAATTTGAAAAATTGCATCTCTAAACCCACTTTTATGTGAAACACATTATCATGCAGGGGATACACAGCCTCCACTTATGAGATTGTAATGAACTAATTATTACAATTTAGAATCTTTAAGTGGTTACAGATCTACAAATATTACTCAGACTGTCTCTCTATCAAAGTCAGCAAATTGACAAAAACCAGGGTTATTTCAGTTCTCAGAAGCCATTGCAATCTAAAGACATCAACCCAATCTCTGTATACAGAAACACAGAGTGACTAATCTCTCAATATCCCAGTCACTGTAATTATTTTGTCACTTGTGTTTCGTGTTTTATCCTGTTTCGTAACACTCCACTTAAATTTTATTTTACACTTAGTGAACTGAACCCACCATTATCTTTTTTACAGATTTAATAAACCGTTTATCAAAGTCATAATTTTGATTTTCGAGTTAATCTCTGATTCTGACGTGAACTTGATGGCATGATGGCAGCTGTTGAACTTCTTAGTTATCAATTCGATGTCGGTAACCTCTGCAAGCACAGTTTTTCTGATTCATTTGAATTCGTCGATTCAATAAGTGATGCGAATATATCCGGGAATAAAATGATATCCACGGATGTTACTTCGCTTTTCACTAACGTTCCTCTCACTGAGACTATCTGCTTTATATGCAAATTCATTGAGGACAATAATGTAAACATGTGTGTTCCGATCCACTACTTAAAGGAACTACTATTGAGGGGCACTCTAAATGCCCAATTCAAGTTCAACAACACGATTTATAGACAAAGAGATGGAGTGGCAATTGGGTCACCATTTGGTCCTTTACTTGTAGACTGCTTCTTGGCAAGTTTTGAGAATAGTATTTTACGGCCTACTATCGACAGTTTCCATCTGTACCAAAGATACATGGATGATACTTTCATCATATGTGACGACAATACCGACATCGAACTGATAACTAAAGAGTTCAACCGCCGCCATCATGCCATTCAAATCACATTGGAATCATAGGTGAACTCGGAATTCCATTTTTGGATGCTTTTCCAAAGAGGAGACTTGATGGTTCCCTTCAAAGATCGATCCATAGGAAACCAACATGGAATGGTCAGTACACAAATTTCCATTTGAGAAGAAAGAGAAATCTGATCTATTTTTCATCCTCAAGAATAAGCAGGATATGTTCAAGCGATAGGATTGATGGGAAACTGGAGCGACTCAGACAAGTTCTCATAGTGAATAGATATCCTCCAAGAATTATCCAGAAAAACATGAAGTTAAGGGAAAAGTCTGAAAGAATTTTGATTTTACTGTTCACGCGTACACTTTTTAGAACTCTCCATCATACGGCGGTCTCCTTAAATCTTGGGCTACTAAAATTTCCATCCTACATATTGCATCTATTTCCTCGGATTTATTTTGTTTTAATTATTCAATTATGTATTCAAGTCGCATTACTTACTCTCGCGATTATTTAAAATGTTTTCAACCTGTTGATTTACGAGTATATAATAACGTTAAGAAAAAGCATCATGGAGGTTGGCAGAGATCATTAAAGTGTACTCCAATGCATCAGATGACTGTTACTGTGATTATGAGCAAAAATTGCAGGGCATTATCGAACAAGATTAACTACTTGCATTCTCTATTATACTCAAATGTATATTTTAATACTGGTGTAATCACTCTTCAAGAGACTTGGCTCCATGATTCATATGACGATAATTTAGTCTCCTCAAGTGGATTCACAATCTACAGACAAGACCGATGCAGCTCAAAGAAGAAGAGAGGTGGTGGTATTGCCACTTTTATTAATTCTCAGTGGTCTACTGCCAACAACGTCTGCTTCAAATTCTCAAATGACAATATTGACTCTATAACTGTAAAATGTCGACCTAAACACTTATCTAAGTATAGCTCCATTTTTGTCACAAATATCTATATCACACCTTGTTGCAATCCCTCAGAACTATCTATCTTCGCTGATTAACTCACTATTTTTTCTGCTGCTTCGTTTGGTAACTCCTTGTTTGTAGTGCCTGGTGACTTCAACTCCTACGACTACAGTTTTATGACACTGCTTGGCCATGAAAACTTTGTTAACTTCCCAACTCGACAAGATACTTCACTTGATTTAGTATTTAAAAATGATTCTGGAATATACGAATATAGTAAAAGAGCTCAGGTCTTCAATTCTTATCACTGTATTGTAAATCCTTTTCAAACTTGTCCACGAAAGTTGTTCATAGATGTTACTCAAATGAGAGCGTACATCATCTTAGAAACATGGTCAGTGACACAAGATGGGATCTGTTTGATGATGATTCACTTGATGACACTATCTCTAATATTACATGTCAACCTGAGACCGAACACTTCGGTCCAATCAATCGACGGGAAAATCAAGAATTCAATTCAATAATTACATCTTATTCGAAATTCTATTTTAAAGTTTGCTGTCTAAAAGAAACACATTATTATTATATTGTGTAAACATTCACGCTCACGTTGGATCTCATATTCTGTCTCCAGTCAATCCATGATTTTTAAGCAAGATGTGTAGTCTGCTCCCTTTGTTTAATTACACTATATTTATATATATATATATATATATATTATTTGTCGAGTGACATTATTCTTGTAATTATGCTACCCATATTTTTTATCCGTCATTGTGTGAAATAAGTATGTTCGGAAATGTTTTTGAACTTATAATTTGATATTGTTTAGGATAAATTCAGTTGACGAGCGTCAATTAAATTCCAGGATTTCATCATGAACTAACATCAATTAGAGGAAAACTTGAGAGTATTGAACAGCTGTTTCGTCAGCCTAGTTTGAGACCCTTCATCAGTAAGCACCTATTGAGGTTCGCACCCAGAACTTTATGTTTACAAGACCATGAATCCACTGGGACCCAGTCCAACGGTTTATGAATTTCAACTTCTGCCATATATGACGATATGGCGCGATCACTAGCGAATGTCATCGGTGGCGAGTTTCTGTCTTCACACCCTATGCCCTTCTGTATCCCATTGGTAACGCCTTCCAACTACAACCCAGGTAACTACTTACCTGAACAAGTCCAGTCAGTAGTGAGCTCTAGACTGATGTATTCAAGCTCGTACTATCCTGTGAATATTTTCGTTCTTCCTTTTGTTGAAACTAATCAAGGGAACTGTTTGGAATTAGATATTAATTCAAATATTTAAGTATTATAAAACCACAGTAAAATGATTTTCGACTTGATACCTGTTAAACCTTTATGAGTACATACTGCGCTGGTGTCACAGCGGTTAGGACGGTCGTCGACCATGCACATGGTCCATGGTTCGATCCCCGGCCACCGACGTACTCCTTTACCTCGATAAGCCAGAAATAATGCTGGTAAAGAGGAAAGGTAGGACAAGCCACCAGCTTGAGGCCCTATGTTCCACTGGGAACGTGAAGGGAAAAAAATGAGTAAATAGTCGAATAAAATGATTAAAAAACGAAAGACAATGTATTAATCACCTTGATCTACTCCTTTAATTTCAGTGAAATACGGTTGGTTATCATTTGTGTCCAATACACGTATGCATATGGTATCAACGGTAGAATAAGACTTATTCCCACCCGTGTCAGAGACAATCACTTCAAAGCAGTAGTGGGACTAAAAATAAAAAAACGACACGAAAAAACAGGAGAATACAACAAAGTTATATTGTCACCTTTTCTTAAACTTTTCTGGTTAGGTAGATTTCTGCAAAAATATCTAAAAACAGACACTTAACATAAAACAATTTTATTCACTTCTGTTAATAGAATGTGTATTTCCTCTTTTATGAACGGATTCCATTTTGCCCGATGTATTTGTGTCTCACTGACTGATGATACATATTTTCACTGTGATTCGAAATCAGATGTCAGCATTTAAAACCTCTAAGTGTGTTATGCGAGAGACCGCTCAGGTATAGCAGCTACTGTCTCTGCAAACAGATTGATCCTTTCCCTAGAACTGATCTGTAGGGGGTTTGAATCGTTTCTAGCTCAGCCACAGATTAAAATTAGTTACAAAACCATTGAAAACCAGGAAGTAGTCAATAGCTGGTTCATCACAGTTTGTGATTTTGCCTGGCAAGACGCATTTCACCGAAATTTGTACCAGTGACTTTCTGATTACAAGGTAAACCCTTAGGTCGACCTAATGCTAGCTGGTAATCGGTGACAGAACGAAATCGCTTAGAGCTCTACTGAGAATCCATGACCAGTAGGGTCCATCAGGTTGGCAGTCAAGAAAAAAATACTCGCCAATAACACTGGCTGGTGACTGCGCTGAAACCACGATCTGGTTGAAGCTGGAATTCAAGTGGCTGAAAGGCTAACGAGTTTGCCTCGCCTGCCAAAGATTCATAAAACTACGATGAAAAACAGCTATCCAGTATTCCAGTGTTAGTTTTCAGTGGTGCCTCAACTGATATCAATCCATAATCATGTTTGAATGTTTTCTTTTTCATAGAAACGTGTAAAAGGTTTACTCTCTTAGTTGACACCTATGCAAGTGGATTGAAAGCTTATAACCGTCTCTGTGTTTATTCTCTGATTGTCTGTTTCTAGTAGACTGACAATAATATGGAACTTAAAAAAGCAATTTAACAAAGAGAACATTTCTCAGAATCGGAAATCATATGAACCATGAAAAAACTAATCTTCATTCTAGTCATGCCTGAAACACAAAAATTAAAAATCCTTGTGAAATTGTATAGTTTTTTTTAATGACTTCAGTTGAAAATGTTTAGTGACTGAGATTTTAGAAAGATATATACATTTGGAAGATTTTGAAGCTTGATTTAGACAAGACATTTTGTCATATGATGCAGAGTTGTGTCTGTTTAAAAAAAGATATCTTTTTATTTCTCACTATAAATTTATAAATAGCAAGGCCAATCAAGTCTGTATATATATTATTGAATTGAATTTTTGATTTTCCCGTCGATTGATTGGACCGAAGTGCTCGGTCTCCAGATGACGAGTCCCAAGTAGGACGAAATGCGCATCCTGGATTCCACTGCTAGCCACCATCCACCAATTCTGTATATATATATTACAAACCAGAAAAAGCTTCCTAAACATTCACTCGCATGAGCAATTTCAGCCGAAAAACTGTAAGAATTTAGTTTCAAGACTTAGTGTGATCCCTTTTAGGTGATGAACCACTGTCTCACTCCACAGTTGAATAATTAAAGGTAATAGCATCTGGACAGTCCAAATCAGCCAGATCATATTTATGTTGTACTCCTGGCTTGTTCCTCCTGAATTCAGCCTGTTCCGGTCGATGATTTTCATCCAGGGCGTAGTTGATTCACTCCAGGATGAAGCGTCCTAGTATTTTGCTTGGGTTGTACTGGAGGATAATGTCCCACCAGTCCTTGAAATTGTTATTATCATATTACTATTTCCTTTAATTCCTACAGGAACATGGGGCTTCAACCTCACGTACCCATTAAGTTCTGTTCTCTGCTAGAGTTTTCACCTGGCTCAAAGTCTGCCCACATGCATTCAGCTCGACTTTACATGATCTCCCCCAAGTCACCCTTGGACAACTGACTGACTGCTTTCATTTCGCGTTCCACTCGAGTGATGGCTTGTCTAATAATGTCACTTGATGGTTTCCTTACAGTATGACTTCCAATCAGTCTTCATTTCTTCCTGCCTATTAGTTGCACAATCGGTTCCTGGTTGGTTCGCTCTCACAGATCACTCTCAATTGCTGATCTTTTATGACCGGCCATCTGATATTGAGTATTAGGCGGGAACAGCTGGTGATGAAGGTCAGTAGTTTGCTTGAGGTGCTCTTCATGACAGGGTAGCCATGTCTCTGACCCGTGTACTAGCACTGATTTCACATTAGAGTTGAAAATCCGGATCTTTTTATCTATACTGAGTGCCTGTACACAGACTTGAGAGTAATAAAAGTTTGTATTGGTTTCGCCATCCTCGCTCCTTTTATGTTGTCCTCATCAGTTCCGTCTGCCTGTAGTTAAAACGATGCTTCCTAGATAGGTAGGTAAAGCAGGCTGTTTCTTTCAGGTTTCTCTCATTTATGCTGGCTGATTGTTGTCTGTTGTTGTTGGTGTTGAACAGGAATCTTCATCACCTCTGTTTTCTCTGTGTTCACCTGAAGAAAGTCATAACTTCTCTGGATGCATCTTCTGCCAACTCGTCGCTTTTCCCTTGCATATCTATCATTTTGTGAGAAATCAGATATACATCATCAGCTAAGTCCAGATCCTCCAAGTTCTTTTTTGTGTGGCTCAATTTCATGCTTGTTTCCTCATTGCTCGCTGTCTGTCGCACTATCCAATCTACTGCAATCTGGAAAATCATTGGTGATAGCAGGCAGCCTTGCCTTACTCCCATCCTCACTTCGAAGGATTCCGTGAGTTTCCCATTGCGGATTACTTGGAATGAAGCATTTTCGTACAACTATTGTATGAGATGTAGTATTGTCGGTTGCACCCCGTAGTAGCGTGGTAGCTAAATCACTAGTCGATCGAAGCTGTCGAAGGTGTTTTCAAAGTCGATGAGGTTGATATAGAGAGGTGATTGCAATGGTTTTGAGTATCTTTTCTTTGAAAGTTTAAGTAAGTAAGTAGACTTCCTTCGAATCCGCCTGTTTTTTACCTGCTGACATAAAACTCACTGTTTACACACCGGAGAATTGTGTCACTTTTGCAATTCACTACTTCAAATGACTTTTTAGTCATCTTTTTTACTTTTTTAACCTTATTCATACAAAGTACAATGTGTGGTTGTTTAAATTCCTGTTGACATTTTAATCTCAAGTTCTTTGACAAGAATTTGTAAAACTACGAATTCAATTTCGGTTAGCTCAGACATTTTTACTTTTTCATGTACATGGAAGATGGTAGACAATTGTGCAAGTAAAATAACAAGATTAATTATGCGCTTTTTATGGATATAAGGTGAAGTGTGAACAAATTATGACATGAAATTCCTTGTTATTTCTCACTAATGTTTAATAAAGTATATATAACACAAAGTATACTTTATGACTTTCTGACATTTATTTATCAATTACAAAAAGGTTTATCTGGAGGTAACAAACAGTACTGCATCGCTTACAGTAAGAAGCGTACGATAGTCAGTAATAAAATGTATATGAATGCGAATGTACGGTAGTAATTTTACTAAGTGAAATTGCTTACAACAATTTATGAATGCTTGTCTCAAATAGTATTTTGTCATTGTATAACAATCGCAATCCTTCCCTCAGATTTACCATAGAAAAGATATTTTTCTAGCCAGACGTAAGTAAGTTGTTTTCTCTATCTCGATAAAAGATGAACTCCCTCGTCCAGTCAACTTCATGAGCACCTATCAGTTCGCCAGCTTTGGTGGAGCAACCTACACTGGTCATAACCAGAGAGCCGCACATTCTGAATCTATACGAAAGTACATTTTAACATGGTTATACGCGAGAGAAAGGAAAGATGTGACCAGATCTACTTGAGAACACTTGATAGATATGTGTCCCATAACCAGTCCCAAGTCGATCTGAACAACCCTCTCTCCGACAAATTATTGATATCGGCATCGTGCATAGCTTAGACGCCCAGGCAACACAAGCATCCATATGCCGGTCCCGAGTCCGTGGTTCAACAGTAGAATGCCCACCAACTATTTACGTGGCCCGAGATTCGATTTCCGGCCGGAGCCGGCTGTAAGCTGGGAAAAGAGGAGGGGATGCGCGTTAGGTCAGTAAGCCACACCGTAAAAAACAGTATCGTAACTGAAAATTCAAAGCTCAAGCTTCAAGCCGTATGTTACACTCAAAACACAATGGAATGCAAAGTGAAAAGAGTCTCTTCGCTGAATATTGTGTCTTTTTAATAGAATGTGCACACTATGAGAACATGTATAAGAGGGGGGGGGAAATTATTTACCTGATTCTCCCTGTCCAGTATTTCTGAGGTGAACAAACTTCCATTATTCAGCAAATAAAATGGCAGATCATATTCCAGAGTTATACTGTTATTAATCTTCTTTGAATTTTGTCCAGGGCTGGCATTGCTTGGTCTCGTGGGTAAAATTTTAAATGTCACTTCACTGTTAAGCCCTTCATCTCTGTCTAGTATTTGAAGATCACCAATCCACGTGTGTGGTGGTTGATTTTCTTCTACAGCAAACTGTCTTGGACCACGGAATTCAGGTGGATTGTCATTTTCATCTAATATTCTTATGAGTAATTGTGCTGTTGCTGTATGATAATTTGCGATGACGCCTTTCGATCTGTGCGATCGACTTTCCAGTGCATGGGAGCCACCATCGATTGCCAGCACTGTAAGCTGTGATTGAATGAATTAAAAAAAAGTATATAAATTTATTTCTATGAGTGCTAACATGAATCGGTTCGCTTCAGCATACTCAATGGACGAACAACCGCCTTTTTCAATACAGAAAGAATCCCCATTTAGACATTTAGAAAACAGAATGATTCAGCGAAGAAATATTTACTTTTCAAATAGATCCTCATCTCAATCTGGCTCTACTCTAATATATTGTGTATAGCATTTTTATTACAATACACAACAATCTACCAGTCAAGTGTCGGTTTCTAGAGATATGATTAATTGGTTACAGTTTTTCATCATGAGCTGACATTGTTTAGAGAACCATTGGAAAGCCTGGTTTTCGCCGAAGACATTGACTAGCGGTCGCGCTATGTCGTGAATTGGCAGAAGTTAGAATTCATGGACTGGCCATTGGATCGGGTCGAAGTGGCCTAATGGTCTACCTGCTCGCCTTGTAACCAGAAGGTATTGGGTTCGAACCCCGTTGGTGGTTGCGTAGTGCTGAAGAGTCCCAAACAAGGGTGACGAAACAGCTATCCAGAAGTCCCAGCTGGCTTTCCAATGGTTTTCTAAGCAATGTCAGCTTATTTTGAAATGGTGTAACCAATTTACCAAACAAGCAACGATATGTTTGTTAAGAATAACAATTTGTTAACAACAATACATCGGGCGTACACTTAGGCAGTTTATTCATCATTGTGTCTCCCAACCTCATCTAACATGGCTAAGCAAGGCAAAAACAACATCTATTCGCAGCTCTATTTTAGTACACCTTATAGACAGTCAGAATAAGGTTGACGCTAATACTGCATTTAAAATTATTTATCGCATTCCTACTAACCTTAATTTTGCTTTACGACTTCGTCTTCTACAGACAGCTGAAGCAATAGGAATCCAACTGTGGAAGAAGCCAAACCAGTGTGTGTTCAGAAGAAATTTGTACACCCACTTTCCTTACCCTGGCCATCGTTACATAAATGTATAAACCGGACTACTTCGCCTTCCTCCCCTAGACCTTTAAAAATTTTAAATGTCCAGATTATTTTATTTTTTCTGACTACTTCATCTTTAATTACGCGTTATCCTTGTAAAATTATTTTATTCTTATGACCACACTTCGTCCTTAGTTACAAGTTATCATTGTCCCAATCGTTTTATTTTCTTTAACAATCTGTTACGTAATCAACCTGTGCACACGCTTATCCCTTGCTTAATTACTCTTCATTTTTCCAAAATTGCGCATGCATTATGCAATCCATGTGTTGTAACACCATTTCTGCCTTTTAATTGTGTAATTTTCTTCGTTAATTATCATCCCATCCCTGGCATGTTGACACTGACTAATTATTGTTAACAAACACATCAGTGCCACCTGATTGGTAAATTGTTGTGTTGTATTGTAATAAAAATGCTATACACATTGTATTAGAGTAGAGCCAGAGTGAGATGAGGATCGAATTGAAAAGTAAATTTTTCTTCGCTCGCTCAATCTTTCTGTTTTCTAAACCTTATTTTTTTATGTAAACTCTACTTAGTAAACTCTACTTTAAAAGGTTATCACATGACACGACTTTTTATTTGATAAATTACTTGAAATATGAATGAAATTTCTTCGCCACAGAAATCAGACGCTTCAGACGCTGTACACAGTCGCATTTTTATCTGTGCGTCGGTGGCACAGTGGTTAGGACTCTCACCGACCATGCAAATGGTCCGGGGTTCGAGCCCGCGCCGACGCACACCTGATATCTATGGTCGGCCTGCAAAATTTGGGCTACCGATATCCATGCTGAAAATTCCATACTTGTACCAAAAATACAGTGTGGAATCAAGCTGTAAATCAAAATAAAAAATAAATCAAAATATGGATGGAAGTCCACTATTGAGTAATAGGGATGACGTAATTGATATAATTACTTAGAAGTAGCTTCGAAAGTAAAAAATAAAGGTTGTAAATTATGGAATACTGAAAGAAACAAAGGAAGAAAGTGTTAGAATTTCGTTTAGGTTGAAATTCTTATTGAGTAGTAAGAAGAAAGACAGTTTTTTGTTCACTTAACAAGCGTAAAGAAGGTAAGAAAACGTACATAAAGGAACATGTGAGAGCGATAAGAGTGAATTATTTATTAAAGCAAAGGAAAAGTAATCATTAACAATAAAAAACAAATTTAAAGGGAACGATTAATGAAGAGGTTAAGGCCATGGTGTGATAAGACACTGCACAAAGCTTTTCTGTATACAGGATTCGAGGTTGTATTGACGAATCGCCACTGCCTCTACCAAAGACAAATGTAGAAACCTAATGCCATGTGTGGCGTGAGCTCACGGAGTAATTGAGAATATAGCCAGTAGCTGTCTTGTGTTGTCCTTTTGCTAAACACGCCAGATAATGCTCAGAGATGTATTTGGAAAGTATGCTTTTAAGCAGTCAGTATAACTAACCTTTACTTTAATAAATAATTCTTTATTATCAATCTCACGTTTCTTTATGTACGTTTTATCACCTTCACACTTGTTAAATGGACACTCAACTGCCTTTCTGCTCACTACTCAATAACAATTTCAACCTTATCAAATTCTTAAACGCTTTCTTGCTTTGTACTGTCAAGTATAATGTAATTTTTCACTTCTGTTTTTTTTGTAATTACCTGTTACTAAGTAACAGACTACTTACATTTCTGGTATATACAAATGCGAGTGTACAGCTTGTGAAGATGATTTTATCAATAAGGAAAGTTTTCTTCAATGAATTATCGTTTCAGGATTTCATCATGAGTTGACATTAGTTAGACAACCATTGGAAAACCTCGGAGTACTGGACAGCTGTTTCATCAGCCTAGTTTGGGACTCTTCACAGTACGCACCTACTGACAGGGTTCGAACTCAGGACCTTCCGGTAACAAGGCGAGCTCGTATACCATTAAGCCACTGGGACCCGATCCAATGGTCCTTGAATTCTAACTTCTGCCAATTCACGACATAGCGCGACCGCTAGCCAATGTCTTCGACGAGTTTTCCAATGGTTTTCTAACTAATGTCCACTCATGATGAATTACTGAAACCGATCAAATCCCTACAAACCAACACTTGAATTATCTTTTATTTTCTTCATGATTCAATGGGTACTTGACGTTTTCTGGCATAATAAGCATGAACAATCAATTGACTTGTTCTACATACATCCCATAAATTTTTTTGATGTGGTTGTGTTCTCTGAACTGGATAGTTAATTTACAAAGCTAACATTGCCCTATTTGGCAACATCTTCAGCGCATATTTCAGTTTGAAGTGAGCTTTTAGATTTCTTCACGAGTTTATTTGTCATCTCTCCTGGTGACATTCAAAGTCGTGATAGGTTGATTTTGTATGTTTTCACACCCTCTAAACTGCTACTTGTATCAGAACTGATTGTTCCCTTGACTTAAACTTTGACCATTTTTCTATGTGTGGTTTCCTTCTAATCGGTTAGTAAATTTTGTCTATCTTGATATGTCTATTGATTGATGATTCATTGGAATACAAGGCAGCCTCCTACAAATTCTCTAGCATTCTTGTTGTTTCCTCTTTCTAAAATTTCAACTTTGTCCCAGTCGAATTCATCTTCGAATCCACGAATATAAACTAACCTTCAAAAGACGTGACATTCACTGCATCACTAATATCACTACATACAGAAAACCACACACATTTATTCGACTGAGACAACCAGTCTTCAAATACTAGACAGAGCTAGAGAATTTGTAGAAGGCTGCCTGATATTCCAGTGAATCATCAATCAATGGACACATTAAAATCGACAAAATTTACCAACGGATGAAAAGGAAATCTCGTACCCAAAGAGTAAAGTTCAAGTCAAAAAAAGATCAGTTCCAATACTAGTAACCTAGATGGTGTGAAAACACACAAAAATAACCAATCACGAGGTTGAAGGTTACCAGAAGAGATGACAAATAAACTCGTAAAGAAATCTAAAAGCTCACTTCAAACCATTATATGCGCTGAAGATGTTGCCTAATAGGGCGATGTTAACTTCGTAAATTAACTATCCAGCTCAGAGAACACAACCATATCAAAACCATCCAACTGAGCTATAAATCTTCTATATCATATCTACATCCTATTTATTGGTGACACACAGTGTTTGACTGAACCTCATTCGATGCGAAATACACTCCAATTTAAAAAAAATTTTAAACAGGGTATCTTATGATTGGTAGTTATCAGGTGGAAGTCTTTTGCATGAGTTGAATCATTCTTAAAATCGTAAACCAGTAATTTTAATTCAACCCTGTCGTTTTTAATAATAATAATAATAGTTTGCTTTATTCTAAAACAAAACGGAGTGTAGGCAGCCGAAACTGATGATGGTAACATTTGGCATTGATAGGGACAAAACAGTCAGAAATGTTCAAAAGTCTAAACTGACAATAATATTGATCATAAAATTATAAGATTATTGAAATGGTTTCACCATAAATTGCAAACATGAGAACATAAAACAGCCATTTAGTTTGCTAACTGCATAATAAGTTATAAGTTTCACGCCTAGAAAAACACTATATCAACGACATAAAGCGCTGATCAAGTGGGATATCGGTGAACTTTTTTACTTGGTTGTGCAAGGATTTGAACTTTTATAATGACTTCAAGCTGTACCTGATGAGATGTGCAAACGGAAGTTGTAAATAAAGAAGGCGTGGAAGGTCAGATAATAGAGATTTAGAACATTTAAAGTGTCTGCCAACCACTATAGTGACGAGTTAACTTAGTGATGCACTACTTTCCCTAATGATTAGCTTTCATACTATTCGCAATGCAGAAAAGAAAAGGTGTTCAGCAAAGAGTTACTCTTTTCGGCGATATCATTCTCAAGCTGTACAAATCGCAAATTCGTTTGGATAGCAAACGAATCAGTGAACACTTACCCTCATGGTTTTATAAAGGAGAAAGTAGATCCCCCTGCCACAGCTCTATCCTAGAACACTTGACCGAAT